GCCGCCCTGAGTCTCCGGAGAAGGGCGGCATATAAATCAAATTAAAAAAAAAAAAGTTTAAACACATTTAGAGAGGATCGGATTGAGGAAAACTGCATTAGGGAAATGATCTTCACGCCAGTTGATATGACACAACAAATGCATTCTCACGTTTCTATTTGTTAAACCATGAGGACCAGGGTATAGATTAAGAAATAACTGGACTTCCGGTTTGCTGTTTGTCGCTGCCAGACGTTCCTTTGGGATCGTCAGCTTCCATCGCCTGTCAGAGCCGCCTTCACAACGGAATGGCGGCTCGAAAAAACTCCGTTTCCATGAGGAAACGGAGATAGAGCCGGCAGGGGTGGGTAGAACTCTCTGCGGAGTCCCAAAAGTTTTTCCTTTACTTTTGGGACGGAGCGGATGAGATGCCCCGTATCCCCAGCCGCTGCTCCGGGCTTTGGGAGACCTCTGCTGATGCAGAGCCAGGCGTCAAAAGCAAGCCTGCAAATTTAACAGATTACTCAAAGAAAATGTGAGCTGGACCTGTAATACTGAACCGCAAGTATTTTACTGATTTTTTAAAAGAAATTACTTAAGAGAGAGGAGGAAAAGAAAGAGGAAAAAAAGCCTTTTAAAATGGCGTCGGCTGGAGGAGAGGCTGAAAGGGAAAGTCCTTCCGTTTTTTATTACTACAAGGTAGCGGAATAAATACCACTGGCTACATTTGTAGACAAAACTTCGCTCCTGTGTCTTTTTCTCTTTTTTTTCCCTTGGAGACCTGATATTGTTGTTGATTGGAAAGAAGTCTTTCTTGCTTTTTTTAACAGCCTGCCTGGGCGGAAACATGGCACTGAGACTCATAAAGTCAGATAAACAAGAAGGGGGGGGATTCCCCCACCAACAACTTAAAGGAACAAGTCTTAACTCTTCAGTCTCAGAAACCTGATTTTAATATAATAGAATTTTTTATAGAGGAGATTGAAAGAAGGGAGGAGATTGTGAATCAGCAATTTGAAAAATTTAAGCAGGAAATTAAAGAATTGGTGAAATCTAAGTTTGATTTTTTGGAGAAAAAACTCTCAAAAGTGGCTAATGGTTTTATAGAATTTATGATACAGTTGGACACAAATACTAATGTACTAGAGTCTAAAATGGAAGAAATTCAAGATAAATTGGACAATAGAATTCAAAAAATTGAAAATGACTTGACAAACACTCAGGATAATAGCTTAGAAGAAAAACCTAAAATGGATGCTGATCAAAAGTATGGTAATGCAGAAAATCTGCAACAGAAGATTGAAAAAGAGATTTTAATGGTACAATATAATTTCACAGAATATGCGATAAGATTAAGAGGTTTGCAGGAAAATAATAGAGATGATTTAAGGAAAATATCTTCTGAATTTCTAGCTGGGATTCTAAAGGTTCAACCTGACGAAGTGTTTTGTAGGATTGACAGAGTTTATCGAATCAACTCCTGGATTGCCAAGCAAAGGCAATTGCCTAGAGATGTGGTGATTTATTTTACAGATAAAGAAATTAGGAATAATATCGTGCAAAATTCCTTCAATTCTAATTTGCAATTGTATGGAAGAAAGATTTGGATTTACAAGGAACTCCCACCTAAGATATTGATGGAAAGGAAGAAATTTGGTTTTCTGGTGAATGAGTTAAAAAAGAGAAATATCTCATTCAGGTGGGACGCCCCAGTTGGTATTATATTTAGATACCAAGGAGAAAGATATCAGCTAAATACTGTTGAAAGAGCAGAAGAATTTTATCAAAATAAGTTGAAAATGAACTTAACATCTTCAGGTATAATACAGGATAAGCAGAAGGAGCCGGAAATAAAGGTAAAATATCGAATTACAGAGACTGTACCAGATGAATTGCCTTTGGATTCATTGGATACCCCAGCTGGACTATCTACAAATTTGAGAGAAGTGGCATCTAACCTTAATGTGATGACTTATCAAGGCAAGGATAAGCATGGAAACCAATTAGGGGAAATACAAGGGATAAAAAAGAAACATGAGATACAAAAACAAAACCAACAAGACCAATCTACAAAGCAGAACAAAATCCGACCAGATGATACACAATTTGTAGAAAGGAAACCAGGATGGAAACCAAACCCACAAAAAGAAAAGAAAAAAAGAAATAGGTGGCATAAAAATAGAAATTTCTAAATCAGGCAACAGTGAAGCCAGTGACTTTAAAATATGAATGATTATGTGTAAACACAGAAGAGGCGACATATTGGTTAATATCATCCTGAGGATTGTGGCAGATCTCTGCATGGCCGTAATTTGGGGACGTGAAATGAGCCTTAAACTGATGGATTTGAATTATCCATTTTGGAATTTCTTTTTGTGTTGATAAACATATTATATTATCTTGAATTACAAGGCAAGAGAATTATGCTGGGGCATGCAGAAGATCGGGTTGTTACCCACTACGATGATGGGAATTAATAATCCTGATGAAACCCACAATTATTACTATATGGAATATAATTATAATGTCACTCGGGTGGTTGTTTTTACTTTTATACATATAAGAAGATATTTACTACTGATGGGGGCAGATATGATTGAAGATCCTGAATAAACTGTTGCACCAGCAAGCTATGTTACCCGATTATGGATGTTGGTTCTACCAATCCAGTGGAAAGACCTTAAAGAAGATACTATATGGATTATAAATTTAAAGTCATTGTCTTTTCTTTTTTTTTATTTAGATATAATGGAAAATATAGACATGTATTTTTAAGTAGTGTGGGCAGTGAATCAAAGATATTAAGAAATGTTGTGTATGGTAATTTTGCATGATAGTGGGTGAATAAGCTAGTTAGTAGATTGATTAGTCTAAGAAAAGGGATTTTTAAGTGATATATTTAGGGGAGTGGAGGAAATGGATAGAGTGGAATAAATGTTAAACTAGATTTTATGGGGAAGGCCGCTTTGAAATGTTATAGTAATATATATAGAAGATTAAATGTTAAAGTAGGACTTATTGTATAGTTTTAAAGTGGAGAAGTTATTTTATAATGTCATAGTATAATGTCTTTTTTTCTTCTTCTTCTTTTTTTTCCCTTTCTTTTCTCTTTTCTGAAATGTATGGATAAAGGGGGATGTTATAATATTAATAATATTTTTAGTAAGTAAAGGTCAATATCTAGAGGAGGGAGTAAGTAATCTGTTATGAATTAGGTTTTTTTTTTTTTTTGTTATGAAGAAGTCACTGGGTGGGGAGGGGGGTGGGAGGGTGGAGGGGTGGAGGGAGGGGGAGGGAGAGGGGAAAAAAAAGGGGGAAAAATTTGTATTTGAAAACTTTTTCAATAAAAAAAAAGAAGAAATAACTAAAAAGAGGAATTAAACGGAGCTTCTCAGAGTTCTCAGGCACTCTGTTTTCCCCTCATTTCAAGATTCATTGTGAAGATTTCCAGAAGCCTAATCATAGTTTACCTCCTAAATTTGAATCTATTTGTTCATTTGGGGCAGGGGTGTCAAACTCAAGGCCCACGGGCCGCATCTGGCCCGTGAGGTGTTTAAACCTGCCCTAACTGCAAGACTGCCCTGGAAGTGGCAAAAGACCAGCCCGCAGTGAGCCAGGCTAAGATTCGATATTGGGATAAAACTCAAATATTAGAAATCCAAATCTTTGGTCAAGACAGAAGTGCCTCTCCCGTGCCAAGGTGCTGAAATGACAAACGGTATTTGACGTAGGTACAGAATTGTAGAAGGGCAAACTGACCCTAAACAGATACATTCTGTTGTTTAATGTTTATTGCATCCCAAATGTCATGCATATCCCTGGATAAGGGGTGCTGCTTCCTTATTGCCCTTGAGGCGTCTTCTAGCCTCTTATCTCCTTTTGTTATGTCTTGAGCTCCGGAGCTGAAAGCCTGAGCCTGTGGGAACCATGCTGTTATGTCTTTCCTAGAGATAGATTAAAGGGTAACTTCTACGTGTGAAATGTTGTACTCTTCGTAATAACTTTGTCTTTATACTGTATAAATATCTGGTTGAAATCATCCATCTTGGTTCAAACTTTTGGGGTCTTCGGACTGTTTGAACCTTTGCGCAAATAAAAACTCTTTCCTGCACTGAAGAGCTTGTCCTAGTCCGTCATTTTTCCTACAACAGCAGCGCCTTGGTCCGGCCCAGGCCAACCAGGCGCTGATCTGCAACCTTGTGGCGGCCATCCAGGCCGGACCGCCACCAGCCTTACATCCACAGCAGGGCCTCGGCTCCGGCCCCGACCCCAGCCCCTGGGCATGCACACAGGAGGCAGTGAATATACTCAGGGCCTGGTTTCCCTGAGGACTTGTTTTTTTTGTTTATTGATTGATTGATTGATTGATTGGTTCGATTTATATGCCGCTCTTTTCCGGAGACTCAGAGCGGCTTATAATGCGTTAAGCAATAGCCTTCATACTTTTTGTATATACCTGCTTAGTAGGGCCTTCGGCCGCCCCCTAAGCGGACTTAGGGACTGCCCCCACAATCTGGGTCCTCATTTTACCTACCTCGGAAGGATGGAAGGCTGAGTCAACCTTGAGCCTGGTGAGATTTGAACTTGCAGTCATTGCAGGCAGCTGGTGCTACTTAATAGCACTCTAGTCTGCTGCGCCACCAAGGCTCTCAGGACTGTGTTCTGAGCGCTTCCCTTTCACCCAGGACACCAGCGCTTGCACGCTTGCCGCCTCCTGCACGCACACCCAGGGGGCGGGGCCAAGGCAGCACCATGGATCTAAGGCCGGCTGTGGTCTGCCCCGGATGGCCACCATCAGGTAGCAGATCAGCACTGCGGCTGCACCAGTGTCTCCATGCCCAAACGATGTTGAGCTGACCACACCCACCCCAGCCACACCCATGCACCCCGCCCCCCGGCGATCAACCACAAGCCTGATGCAGCCCTCAATGAAATCAAGTTTGATGCCCCTGAACTAGGGTAACCTCAGTCTCCATTTAAATACACGTATCAGTAGAAAGGAAGAAAAGTTTTGCACTCACCTGGCCATTTGTTTATATGCTTCTTCCGCAACTGCGAAAATATGAGGATCCATATCACCCATGTTTTGGCCGCTGTAGGCATAGATGACATCTTGTCCATAAATTGGCAATTGTTCATAAGGATTTATGGCAACAAGCACGATACCTTAAAATTAACGAGAATGCAAACACTTTAAATGATACAAAAACAAGAGAGGCACAAATTACCCACAAACAGAGTAGTTTAAAGATGACTCACTGGTCACTTCATAGTGTCAACGTTTGTTTGTTTTTATTGTGCATCAATTTACAAGTTCATTGCAGCCAGCTATTTAAATAAATAAGCAAGCAAGCAGAAGCATTCGCCCCCACTTTTTGTTTTATAGGTTCAGCAGATTTGAAGGTTTTCCAAATTAAAATTCAACTGCTACAAGTTTCCTGAGCTGGCAAAGTTAGGTCTCAACCAGAAAATTCTCTAACTAAATAGTTCTCGACTTACTTACCAGAATTTCTGTTGCTAGCAAGATGTTCAGTGAGTTGTACCCAATTTTATGACCTTTTTTTTTTGCCAAGGTTGTTAAGCAAATCATTGCAGTTAAGTGAATCGTGAGTTGTTAAATAAATTCAGCTTCCCACATTGATTTTGCTTGACAGAGGCCAGCTTGGAAAGTTACGAATGATGATCGCATGAACACAGGATGCTGCAAGCATCATAAATACACACCAGTTGCCAACACTCCAATTTTGATCATGTGACCAAGCGGATATGTGAGAACCGGTCAAAAGTCACTATTTTCAATCCCGTTGTAAATTTGAACAGGTGTTAAATGACTGGTTGTAAATCTATCTGTACAGGTAGTCCTTGGCTTTGACCACAATTGAGCCCAAAATTTCTGTTGCTAAGCGAGACATTGGTTAAGTGAATTTTGTTCCATTTTACGACCTTTCTTGCCACGGTTGTTAAGTGAATCACTGCACTTTTATTTAAGCTCGTCACACGGTTGTTAAGTGAATCTGGCTTCCCCATTGACTTTGCTTGTCAAAAGGTCACAAAAGCGGATCACATGACCCCGGGACACTGCAACTGTCATAAATATGACTAAGTTGCCAACCATCTCAATTTTGATCATGTGACCATGGGGATGCTGCAATGGTCATAAGTGTGAGAAACGGTCATCAGTTGCTCCATTGGCTGCTGATTTGCTTCCGGGTGCAACTCAAGGTGCTGGTTGTCACCTTTAAAGCCCTTCGTGGCTTGGGACCACGTTATCTGAGGGACCGTCTCTTGCTGGTCACATCTACCCAACCCATCAGAGTTGGGAGGCAGGGAATGTTGCGGGTCCCGTCCCCGAGGGAGATACACCTGGTGGGACCTAGAAGACGGGCCTTCTCTATGGTAGCTCCCTCTCTCTGGAACATCATTCCACCAGAGATTAGGATGTCCCCCACTCTAATAATCTTCAGGAAGACTGGGTTCTGCCTAGGGAACCCAGAGGGGGATGGAGCCCATTAAATGTGTTAGGATATGGTTTAAGCCTAACTATGTTGTACAGGCAATATAAGTGTACTGTTACTTTAAGCTGTAACTGTATTATGTGGCTTTAATGCTGAGTCATGCTGTAATCACATAATTACTGGTTGTGAGAATATTTAAGCAAAGCTTCTGTAACGTGTTCAGTTGCTGCTATGATCTGCTGTTGATGATGAAGCTGCAATGATGAAGCTGCCGTTGTGTATGAAGATAATGAGAGGATGAAGCTGTGATGATAAGCTACCATTGAGAGGAGGTGCTATCTGTAATCATTGTTTGATGGATCTGCAACCATCGTGAACCAGAGTGAGTTTGTTATTCTAACCAACTACTGTTTGTTGGGTAAGAAGATTCTGTAACTACTGGACTGATTTACTGGCAAAGACTTGGAATTTGTTTAAAGACTATGAGACTGTTTTTCTACTATAAAGTAAGCTTTTGATAAACCAGTTTGCATATCTCTTATTCATTGCTCTCAGCAACGTTTCACTGTGCAATCTACTCTGCTGGTTGGTAACACAACAACAATAACCTTAACAAAATGGCTTGTGTGATCTGCTCTCACTGGGACGGGGGCACTGGTGGGTTCCTCCCGGTTCAGTCCGGTTCGGCCGAGCCGGTAGCGGTGACGATATGACGTCACCTAACTGGTTCTCCCCCCCCCCACCCTCCCACATTATTCTTACCTTTTATTTGGCCCCACCCCCAATCTATTGCTGCCTCCTGAGTCTCAGCTGATGACTAGAGGGAAAAAACCTGTTTAAACTCTTGCCCCGGGGCTTCAAAAGGCCGTCCTGCAGTGATCAGTGTTAAAAGCAAACAAATGAGTTGGGTCGTAAGTGCGAGGACTGGTCGTAAGTGCGAGGACCTTCCAGAAATGACTCTGACCAGCTAGCCACACCCACCTAGTCACATGACCTCCAAGCCACGCCCACAGAACCGGTAGTAAAAAAAATTTAGAACCCACCCCTGGACGGGGGGTGGGAGGTGGAGGGCGATTTTGTTATGTTGTACTATATTAATTTATTTGATTCTTTTTGTTAGTTTTTATTGTTTCAAATATGGTTTTATATTCTGTAAGCCGCCTTGAGTCCCCATGTGTGAATAGGCAGCAATATTAATTAATTAAGTAATTAATTAATTAATTAATTAATTAAGTCATTTTTTTCCCAGTCACTAAATGAACTGTTGTTAATTTAGGCCTATCTGTAGTCTTTCCAAAAGCAATGCCCTATGTCAATACTCACCACAATAGGTATAGATGTGATTTGATTCCAAAAAGCGGACTTTTAAGTTATGCAAGACGGCCGGTTCATGGAGGTAACTCAAAGCTGTCAAGTCATTTTCTCCAACCAAAATATCTGGATTACGCAAAAAAGGAAACTTGTTCTCCTTAGGTTCAACAGGATATTCCAGGATCTGAAATGGTAAAAGGGAAAACAGTCATTTATCCAAAGGTCTACCTGGGACATTGTTACATCTCCATAACCTGACCAAAGTAATGTTTTAGGATACAAAAGAAGCGGGAAAATCAAATGAGAGGTGAACCACATTCACAAAACAGAACCTTGAGGGGGAGGAAGGTTGCCTTAAATAGCTCAACAATGCACCCTTTAAATTAAAAAGCTTTTCTCATGTGATCAGTTCATTTATCTGGAAAGGAAAGAAAAGCATTATTACCAAAAAAACAAAAATTCAACTATATTGCTTGTTTTTATTGCAATTTGCCTAAAAATTAGATTAGAGCTCTGTAATTTTATAGAGAGTTGTTTTTAAGATGGTCACCAGCTAAATTTTTAATACAGGTAATCCTTGACTTACTCCCACAATTGAGCCCCAAATTTCTGTTGCTGAGCGAGACATTTGCTAAGTGACTTTTGCCCCATTTTACGACCTTTCTTGCCACCGTCAAAAGGTCGCAAAAGCGGATCACATGACCCCGGGGACACTGCAATTGTGTTAAATATGAGTCAGATGCCAAGCATCTGAATTTTGATCATGTGACCATGGGGATGTTGCGATGGTCATAGGTGCGAAAAACGGTCATAAGTCCCTTTTTTCAGTGCTGTTGTAACTTTGAACGGTCATTAAATGTACACTTCACTAAACGAACTGTCAAGGACTACCTATACTCCAGTGGTGGGTTGCCCCCCGGTTCGGACCGGTTCGCAAGAACCGGAAGTAAAACCGGTGGGAGGCCCCACCCACCGCCCCGGATGTCATCATCAGCGATCTGCATATGCGCAGATCCCGTTGCGAACCGGAAGTAAAGGTAAGTAGAACCCACCACTGCTGTACTCGTGACAAATATTTCACAATCTCTTTACTCCTTGTCTTTCAGCAAGCTACAGGATCTCCGGTCTCATTAGAAAGCAATTGACTATGGAGATGCTACAATGGTTGTAAGTATGAAAAACGTTCATAAGTGAGTCATATGACGAGCTATGGTGGCGCAGTGTTTAGAATGCAGAACTGCAGGCTATTTCTGGTGACTGCCGGTTGCCAGCAATTTGACAGTTTGAATCTCACTGGCTCAGGGTTGACTCAGCCTTCCATCCTTCCGAGGTGGATAAAATGAGGACCCAGATTGTTGGGGGCCATAGGCTGACTCTATTAACCGCTTAGAGAGGGCTGGAAAGCACTGTGAAGCAGTTTATTAAGTCTATTGTTATTTGCTAAGTCATTTTTTTTGGTGCCATGGTAACTTTGAACAGTCACTAAATTAACTGTTGTCAGTTGAGGATTACCTGTATATATGATGTGTGTATACAAACAGACTTCTGTTCGGCCATTTTTTTAAAACAAGGATTATGCTACATACAGAAGAGAAGCTATATTTTAGAATAGAATAACAGAGTTGGAAGGGACCTTGGAGGTCTTCTAGTCCAACCTCCTGCCCAGGCAGGAAAGCTTACACCACTTCAGACAAGTCCAATATCTTCTTAAAAATTTGGAGCATTCATAACTTCTGCAGACAAGTTGTTCCACTTATTAATTGTTCTAACTGTCAGGAACTTTCTCCTTAGTTCTAAGTTGCTTCTCTCCTTGCTTAGTTTCCACCCATTGCTTCTTGTTTAACCTCATGTGCTTTGGAGAATAGTTTGACTCCCTCTTCTTTGTGAAGCCCCTGAGATATTGGAACACTGCTATCCTGTCTCCCCTAGTCCTTCTTTTCATTAAACTAGACACATCCAGTTCCTGCAACCGTTCTTCATATGCTTTAGCCTCCAGTCCCCTCATCATCTTGGTTGCTCTTCTCTGCACTCTTTCTAGAGTCTCAACATCTTTTTTACGTTTTGTTCACCCATCACTCATCACTTCCAGACCACTGGACTAAAAAATTTGCAAAGATGCTAAGCATACTTTTGCCTTGCTGTAACAAACCCAGGTCTAGGACCACACATAGCCATACAGGTAGTCCGTGACTTATGACCATGTGTACAGCGATCATTCAAACTTACGACAATCCTGTAAAAGATGCTGGCTGAGGAATTCTGGGAGTTGAAGTCCACACAGCTGAAAAGTTCCCAAGATTGAGAAACACTGCTGCCGATAAATTGTCTCAGTAATCAATCAGAATAGAGAAGGATGTCTTCTAGTCCAACCCCTTCAGTGGTGGGTTGCTATCGGTTCTCCCTAGTTCTTGCAAACCGGTAGTGGAAATTTTGAGTAGTTCGGAGAACCGGTAAATACTACCTCTGCCTGGCCCCGCCCCCAATCTATTCGCTGCCTCCCGAGTCCCAGCTGATCGGCTAGAAAGAAAAAATCAGGGCTCACTTGACAAAGAAGGAAAAAAAAAAAAAAGAAGACACCTTAGCTTTAAATTGAGAAGCCAAGAAGCCTCCCAACTGATCGGCTAGAACCGATCCGCTCCTTGTAAACCGCTCGGTGGTGGTAGATTGGCAATTGAGGCCAAGCTTTTTTTTAAAATTTGATTTATATGCCGCCCTTCTCCGGAGACTCAGGGCGGCTTACAATGCGTTAAGCAATAGCCTTCATACTTTTGTATATTTATACAAAGTCAGCTTATTGCCCCCACAAACTGGGTCCTCAATTTACCTACCTTAGAAAGGATGGAAGGCTGAGTCAACCTTGAGCCTGGGGAGAATTTAACTCGCAGTAATTGCAGGCAGCTGGATGTTAAATGCTGCCTTAGGAGGCATTAGCCTCCTACGCCACTCAGGCTCCAAGCTGCCTGAAAGTGGTTTCCGATGCTCTCGGTGGTGGCAGAGCGGCAAAAAAACTGTTTAAACTCTTGCCGCGGCACTTCAAAGAGCCGCCCTACAGCTGATCAGCGGTAAAAGGCAGTGTGGTGGTAGATCAGTGCGCTCCAAAAACAAATGGGTAGACCGGAATGCTCCAAAAACAAATAGGTAGACCGGAATTCTCCAAAAACAAATGGGTAGACCAGTACGGCCCTGCAAGCAGTTAAAAGCCTGGTAGAGCAGTACCTCTGCTAAATCCTAAAGAATTGTTTGTCACATGATCATTAAACCACGCCCACAAAATAAGCCGCACCCACAGAACCGGTAGTAAAAAAAATTAGAACCCATCCCTGAATCCCTTGTTCAAGCAGAAGACCCTATATGATTTCAGGCAAATGGCTATCCAGTCTCTTCTTTAAAACCTCCAGGAATGAAGCACCCACAACTTCTGAAGGCAACTTCCCTTCCTCCTTAATTGTCCTCACTGTTAGGAAGTTTCTCCTTAAGTCCAGGTTGCTTCTCTCCTTGATTAGTTTCCATCCGTTGTTTCTTGTCTTGCCTTCGGGTGCTTTAGGAAATAAGTTGACCCCTTCTTCTTTGTGGCAACCCCTGGCTGACCTTGCTTTGAGTCCACCCTGGTTACAACTTGGATGTAACCGCCACGAAACCTGTGCTGGCCAACCACGTTTATGCTGTTGCCAAGAAAATTCCGAGGAGACACCTATCTGCATATCAATTTCCAGGTTTCAAACTTGACCTTACTTTTTATCGTAGCGTTGCCAAAAGGCATCTAGCTGGCCCTGCTAGTAATGACAACCTTCCGCCATGCTAATGGGGGAATCTGAGGAATTGCAACCTGGGTGGGTGCCAGGTTGGGTGAGGCTGTTGGCATCAGCGTGCTTTGATGTTCTTTGGCACGTTGGTTTCTGTTCTCGGCACTGACTAACTCTGGGCTCATGTGTGCCCGCTCGCTCTTGCTGTCTTACATCCATCATGCCCAATCTAATAAACGGGAGTGACTTGTCAACTCAGCTGAAAGCAAAATGAAGGGAATATATCTGACAGAACTAGGGTGAGAAAATAAGAACACTCTAAAAGGCTTGTAGCTTGTTGGGGACGGTTGATTCCAGCCCAGAAATGGGGATGGCATTCACACGACATGCAAAACTACCCTGCCATTCACCTTGGTCAGAGGGAGAAGCCGGCCACCCTCCCGCAGACGGTCAAATCATAACCCTGACAGCAACCTCTGCTGGCCCTGACAATTAAGAGACCAGCTACCACAGCAATTTTTGCACTGATCAGCTATTTCTAATTGTTGATGCTGTTATAATTGGTGCGAGGGAGGACACAAAGGGACGAGGTGGCTCTATTAGCGCCGGACTCACAATGTGGGAGAAAGTGGAGAATTAGACCTTGAAGTCCTTTATGGGGGGAAGAGAAGGGGAAAATGGGGAGGAAAGGGGAAGGGAAAGAGAAAGAGAAAGGAAAAGGGGAAAGAGAAAGGGGGAAAGGGGAAGGGGAAAGGAAGGGAAGGGAAGGGAAGGGAGGGGAGGGAAGGGAAGGGAAGGATAGAAAAGGGAAGGGAAGGGAAGGGAAGGGAAGGGAAGGGAAGGGAAGGGAAGGGAAGGGAAGGGAAGGAAAGGAAAGGAAAGGAAAGGAAAGGAAAGGAAAGGAAAGGAAAAAAGGAAAGGAAAGGAAAGGAAAGGAAAGGAAAGGAAAGGAAAGGAAAGGAAAGGAAGGAAAGGAAAGGAAAGGAAAAAGGAAAGGAAAGGAAAGGAAAGGAAAGGATAGGAAAAATAAAAGCAGGAAAGTTGGGGAAGGGGAAGGCTTCTGAGCTGCTGTTCTCACTTCATTTTCCTGGAGGACCAATGGGCCACTTAATCCAGGAAATGTCTACATTCTACCAACCTACATCCTAGCATGGTTACAAACTGATGTTAACACAATTTCCTTTAATTACACTCTGGCCCAAAATTTGGAGCATTCACAACTTCCGCAGACAAGTTGTTCCACTTATTAATTGTTCTAACTGTCAGGAAATTTCTCCTTAGTTCTATGTTGCTTCTCTCCTTGATTAGTTTCCACCCGTTGCTTCTTGTCCTGCCCTCAGGTGCTTTGGAGAATAGCTTGACTCCCTCTTCTTTGTGGCAGCCCCTGAGATATCGGAAGACTGCTATCATGTCTCCCCTACTCCTTCTTTTCATTAAACTA